AGACGAGTTGAAACCACAGGTGGCCCAAGCTCTGTCACAGGCTCTTTCACAGTGAATAATTAAAGAGTTTGTATAGTGGTTTAGTTGGACTTGCTTTTGAGCTCCGTAAATGTAAAGTTGTGTGAAATAATCAAAGAAATAAAGTCTTACCTTCGTAGAGAGTAGTCTGTGTTGTTCTCCTCGCGATTTGAGGCCGTTTTGATGTGTTTTAGCTTGACGCCCTAAATTACCGTGCATAAAATACGGGAAGGTCGGAAACTTCTGTTGACACATGCTCGCTAAAATCGCTCGAAAATAACACTTAAATACTTTCCCTCGAATCAAAACTCGGCAGCACGAAAGCCAAATAGTTTCCCTTTAAGTTCACCAAAAAAAATCCCGCAAAAGTCGGTTTTTCGAGCAACCAATCCAGGGAGAATTTCAAATTAACGGCCGTTCGGAATTCTTCTAATGCAGGGAAGGAACTTTGTGTGCAGTTGAGAGACCGTTAATGCGCGGTCAACGTGGAACCTAGTCAAATCTCTCTCAACGGGTCCTCCCCGTAGTCTTCTAACAAGGTACCCCGGGTAAGAGGATATTTGTAAAAATCCATTGAAAACAGTGAAGATGGACAGTATCGACGATCTAGTCAAGTCGATGAGTTTACCCGGGGTACCTTAGTATGTGTGAAGAGTTGGTGTTAGAAGACTATGGGGAGGACCCGTTGAGAGAGATTTGACTAGGTTCCTGGTTGACCGCGCATTAACGGTCTCTCAGCTGCACAAGAAGTTCCTTCCACGCATTAGAAGAATTCGGAACGGCCGTTAATTGGAAATTCTCGCTGGTTTAGTTGCTCGACAAACCGACTTTTGTGGGCTTTTTTTCGGTGAACTTAAAGGGAAACTATTTGGCTTTCATGCTGCCGAGTTTTGATTCTACGGAAAATTATTTAAGTGTTGTTTTTGAGCGATTTTGGCGAGCATGTGTCAACAGAAGTTTCCGATCGTCCCGTATTTTATGCACGGTAATTTAGGGCGTCAAGCTGAAACACATCAAAGCGGCCTCAAATCGCGAGGAGAACAACACAGACTACTCTATACGAAGGTAAGACTTTATTTCTTTGATCATTTTACACAACTTTTCATTTACGGAGCTCAAAAGCAAGTCCAACTAAACCATGCACTATACTAACTCTTTAATTATTCACTGTGAAAGAGCCTGTGACAGAGCTTGGGCTACCTGTGGGAGTAGCAGAGTGAATAGACAGCCACAGCACAACTCACACTGAACCTTCTGGTTTCATAGGCATGACTCTGAAAAAGGGTACTATTTTGAACTCTTGTTAATTTTAACCCCTTTCAACTCAAATATATCATTGTTATGTATACTCTGAAAATAATGTACTAAGCTATTCAATGATGATACCTCAAGCAGCACACATGTACCTTGAGGATGGCTTCTGCAATAAATATCCCTTGCACAAGAATAGAATATTTTTAAGCCCACATTACCTTTACAATAGATAGCAACTGCAGTACATCTTATTGTCAAGACAAAATTGTTGAAATTTTCGGATAAAAGTGATTGAAAGGCTCTTCAGTCTTGAACACATTTAAAAGTGTGGGTAATTCTGTCTGCATTAAAAATGGTTGTCTGGTTAACTGAGAGAAACTTGAATACAACTTATTTCCAATACTCATTATTGAAAAGAGATCATTAGCAGAATTGATTCCTTCTTTGTTATTGTAAATCAAAGGACATAAACTCATTGCAACACATTGTTGTCCTGAATTTTGTCCAAATAGCAACTCATTAGTTTGGCTATATGGTGCCATTATTAATTTGCTAGGGTCAATGTACATTGGAGTAGGACCAGGATTTTTCTCAACATCTGAACTCAGTTGAAATTTTCAATATTTTGATGCGTGTGTCTGACTCCTGTTAAGACACAAGGGTCTATTACAAGAAAACATTGATAAATACCACCTTGCTCTATACTTCAATTTCAATGTCCTCTGATATATCCTCTCTGAACAATTCAACAAATACTTCTTATCATGTTTTGTACATTTATTTAATCTTACCCTCTCCGTATTAAACTTACAAATATTCTTTTTAAAGTGCACCTACACCCAAAAAATTTTTTTCGCTTAACGAAGTAAGCTTATTTTTTTGAGTATTTCTGCGCAAAAATTTTTTTATTTGCTCAAATCTTCAATTTTCTATGCCCAGTCAAAATACGGAAAATCGGCCGCCATCTTGCCCCACGACCGAGTTTAAAGAGGAATGGCTCTAGTGGGTAATGTGACGTCAAATCGAGAACACGAAAGTCTGC